TATTGTGTGAGAGACATTTTTGGATTAAATGCATAAATAGTACTTTAAGTATTGATATTGTTGCGGTTTGATACCTTTATTCTCAAATGAATCAAATCAGTACCATAACTATACATAAATATTTCAATTAACAATATTATTCAAATTTGTGGTCAAAAAATTTTACACAACGATCAAGATTCCATGTGTAGAGTTCATCCTACGTACAGTGATGACATGGACAAAAGTAAGGTGAAATGGACTTTCAACATAGAATTTCGATCACCAAATATGATTTTTCGAGTAGAAATTCGAATAATATTGTTAATTGAAACATTTACGTATAATTATGGTACTGGTTATACCAAAACGCAACAATATCAATGGTTAAGATATCATTTATGGATTTCACCCGATACTTTTAGTCCATGACTTCAAATTTTCTCACATTTAGTCATCCGAATATTATTAAATTGACATTTTAGTTCTTCCACTATGATTTTGACACAATAAGTGGAGGACTAAGAATGTCACTTTATATTAGTTGAAAGCCAATTCAAATTAAAAGTGTCACTTTTATGAAAATCAAATAACAAAATTAAATGTGGAATTTTTTTAAAGATGAGTATTAAAAGTGTCATTCACACAATAGTCGAAGGACTAAAATTGAAAAAAAAATCAAAATCGAGTACCAAAAGTGTCGATGACATAATAATCGGATCGAAGACTAAAAGTGGCAAAAACTCATACTACCTCCGTAACAGATATATCTTTTTATTTGAAAAGTAGGTGAGATTAAGAATAGTGAAAGAAGATATAAATTATTGAGGGTATGATGGGAAGATAATGACATAGTGTGTTGGAATTAAGAATAAATCCAGAAAAAATAGTTGTAATAGTGTATTATTTTTAAAATTATTGAGGGTATGATAGGAAAATTTAGAAATGGAAAGATATGAATGTTACAGTTAAAAAAGTAGTTATTATTATTATCCATAGTTGGTTGTTATTATTATCCTAATAAGTACGGAAAATCAAAATAATTTGTATTGATGTTAGAGGACACTAGTGATAATATACACTAAAATTATACTCCGTATCAGATAGGTTTGCATTGAGATTTTGATATTTAGGTCTTTCAGGTATGTACTTGAATATTTTATACTCATTGAACTATACAATTATTCTCTTCTGTATACTTTGTCAGTTTGTCCTTGTTAAATAAAAAAGGGAAACAAGATTTATATCGAGATGGACGGATAAGGAAAGAATGAACATAATATTGGAATGAACAGAGTAAAAAAGTGTGCAAAAAGATTTTTGTTAAATTGTTTTTCCCTTTGAACAATGATGTCTTGCACTATTAAACATTTTTCTACAAGTAGTCTCTTACACCACTTATGATCAAGCACAAAACCAAGAGTCAATACTCCTAAACAGTTCTCAAACCTATTTTTATATTATTGGCATATTTAAAATAAGATAACTGTTCCAAAAAGGTGGAATCTCCCACCCCAGGAGCCCCCCACACCCCGACCTGATAGGATTTTTGGGAGGATGTAAGTTACGGTGACTCGGTCGGCCCAATGATGGTAGACCTTTTACCCGTGCGCATTAGAGGTCCATCCCAACACGCACGATCTCACACGATCGTTGCGAGTTTCGAACCTTGCTCATTGTTCCAAATTTCCACCACAACAATTAAAATAGGGGAACCGTCCAAATCATAGACTCCTAGCTAGCTAGCTGAGATTCCCTCATAATATAAAGGGAGTATCTCTTGACCGAATTCCCCAAGAACTAACCAAAATAGAATCTCTTACTTTCCATCAGTCTCTTCATTACGGCTGTGTCTGCTCTGTCCAGGCCTCTCTCACCCTGCTTCATATAAAGACCTCTCTCTGCTCTGGAGATCTAAGAACAAAGAAAATGTATGCTGACAATGATCTAGTGTTCTCCTTCTCCCAGAACTTACCTCAAGAATCACAACTCTTTGAAGATTTCAGCTTTTCTCACATACCATATGCTTCGCTGGTAATTATATTCTTTCTGCCTGTTGCTTTAACTCTCATTTTAAGAGTTGTTTTGATCCCAGAGTTTATAGGCATGGTGGCGCATGCTTATTTATTTACTGTTCAGTACTGTGTTTTTTCATGTTTTATACTTCATATCACCCTTTATATACATTTTAGTTTTAAACTTTTAATGATTTATGGTTTGTCTTTACTGCCCTTTTTGTTCTTGTTTTACTACATGCACACATCACAATTACCTGTATTGCTTAGTTTCACTATCCATAAAAACTAGGGGTGACTCAAAACCGGTGGGCGTAGCTCAACTGGTAGCAAGGGTGTGCCACAAGGGTTAGGTCTCGGGTTCGAAACCAGACAACTGCGATGAGAGGTTACTATGCTAAAAAATGCATAGGGCCTCTGCAAGTACCGGGGATAGAGCTCCACTCTTTATCTGTCAGATTGTGATTATAGTTCAATTTATCTTCCCAACGTACCCTCCGATCGGTGTTCAGAGATGGGGTAGCATCCTTTTTTAGTGTGACACAAAAACTTAGAAAAACAAATAAGTTCTCTACTGGGCTAGGGTTGGACTCGGGCCGGGTGGCCCGACCCGGAACCGGCCCGGGACCGGTACTGTTCCGGCCCGGCCCGAACCGGTGGCCCGGTCAGTGACCGGTCCGGATAGGCCCGACCCGGTGGGTTTCCGGTCCGGGCTCGGGTCACCCATAACAAGGCCCGGGCCCGGTTCGGGCCAATTTTTTTTTTTTTGGTTTTTTTCATTTGTTTGGGCTCCACCGGGTTGGGCTTGATGTTTAGGAGGGGTTTGGGGGTGAGGGGGGGTCAGGGATGGGTAGCTAAGCAAAAAAAAAAAAAAATTAACCAAACCCGAGACCCGGACCGGACCCGGTGGCTACCCGGGCCGGTCCCGGGTCCAGCTATATAGAACCGCCGGCTCGGGCCCGACCCGGCCCGAGTCCAACCCTATACTGGGCTACATCTCGGTAGAGGTAATTTAGGCTAGGTATGTGTGCCACTTGGGCAAAGGGGGCAAGTAAGGGCTGTCAGGCCCCGTTTTTTTTTTCTACTAGCTATATTTACTCCAACATTTTAATATATAGGTTGGTTAGAAGAGCATGTACTATAGCCTATTACTTTGACAAATTAGGAAAATCATTTGTTTCTTTTCAAAATATTATTGATTTATTCTTACGGAAGAGCTTTTTATTATTTTATGAGAACAAAAGTGGGCTTATTTTTTGAATAAAAAGCAAGATTTTTTTCGCTTTTTACTAGTAATAAGTAGTTTCTTTAACTTTATATTTCAAATCCTTGTCATAGTAATTGACTTTTTTATTTAAGTTCAGTTTTCTGGTAAAGGTGTTTCTTATAGAAAGATGCAGCCTTTCCTTTTGTAGCTCTTGAATAATGAAGCCAGATGTACCATACCTATCTAGAGTAGAGGTAAGTGTTGGTTGATTTAAGTTCCAAAACTATGTGTGTCAAAGAAGAAGTACATAAACAACTTAAATGCATCCTAAGCCCTTTCCCACGGAATTCTTAGCTACTGCCTTCGTGCCTTAAAACTTTGACAAAGTTAACCGGCACGAAGAATAATAAAGTAAAAATTGTGTGGTTGAGATTTGTGCAGAGGAGAGAGAAATAACTGAAACCACAAAATAATTGATTAAAAGGAAAAGATTCAAAGTTTTTTGGGACGTCTCAAAAAGGAAAAATGACAAAATTTTAAGGAACAGAGGGAGTATTATAAATGCTAGTTTGATTTTCGAGAAATACCGGTTTTCTTTTCATACTGCGAATCCAGCTATATGAGAATGAGATCAGAATGCCGAGTGTTGCACAAACCAATTTTTTTTTCATTTTTAAGGTGAATTGTCTGTATCACATACAGTTTTCCTTCTTGTGCTTCTGATAAAATAAGGGAGTATTTGCTAAAACTTAAAAAAGTGATTTTCAGCTTTTGGCTTAAAAAAAGTTGAAATGAGTGTTTTCAAATGACAGTTTTTGCTTAAATTTAACACTTAAAAGCCAAAAGCTGGAAGCGGTTGAAGGGTGCTGTAACTGCTTTTCACTACTTAAAAAGCACTTATTTTACCAAACACTACCAACTTTTACTTTTTCAGAAGCACCTTTTTCTCATACACTACCATCTTTTACTGTTAAGTACTTTCTACAGAATCACTTTAAAAATCACTTTTGAAGTAGAAGCAATCGCAAACACTCCCTAAAACTACGAGCTATAATACATAGCATGATGATATCACCTAACAACTATTCATTGATCACTAATGACCAAGTGTTAAACATTTTGACTTAATTACCAACTAACCACACTTTAAACCCGCATGATTTAGTCAATATTGACATACATAAATAGGAACGCATAAACCATAGTGCGAATGACAGCTGTCTTTACAGGAACGCAACTTGGTTTTTATTCACTTTCTAATTTCCATCTTCTACTCCATATTATATATATATATAGCTAGTGGTTTCCATTTTAGTATCAATATTAAATATTTTCTCAATCTCCAAAAATGGTGGTTACTACTATTTCTTATATCAAAAGTTCATTGTCGGGAAGTGATGATATTGCAACACTTTCTCCACTTGATCAATATATATACGTTCAATGATGTGGTTAGCCACCTAATACTCAGTGGATGGGTAAATTAGAATAAGAAGTGATAATTTTGCTGTCCACACTTTCCTCCTTTTTATATAGAGTTTTTTCGTTAAATACAACGAAAATATAATTTATGAACAAAATATTACTTTAGTTACTATGCAAAATCACTATATATAATATAGAGTTCACTTAAACTACTATGGTAGTCACTAAAGTATAAAAGTTAAACTTTTGTCCAATAATGTCTTTATTCCGGTCTTATATTTTTCATTATATCTTTACATAATTGTAACCCTTTGAATTTTACATCGTTCAAATAGCTCTCAGTTCTGCCTTTTTGCTTATCCTAACTTAGTGAACTTTCCTTTTTTATTATTTCAAAAACACAGCTACTATTCCTTTCAAATAATCAATTTGTAGGCTGTAGCTCTTATTCATGCAAACCTCAACCATACAAAATCTTATTATTATTCTTCTCGATCAAACTTGAAGAAGTTACTAAAATGAGGTTAAGAAACCGGCTGTAATGTAGCACTTTCTGGGCATGACCTTAATTGAATTTTGATTTCAAATCCGAATACATATGGGACTTTCTTTTGCAGACATTTATGGCATCTGAATTTGACCTTGGAGGAGAAGGGGACCTCTTTAAGGCTCCTAAACGAATTCTTGAAGGACCATTTATAGATCAAGGTCCAGTGACAGCTTCCTTTCCAGTGAATCCTTGTTATGAAGATGTCATGTCCCTCCAAATGCTAAATGTTTCAGAAATGGAATCATCATTTGAGAAGGAACAACTCCTCAGTGATGCTTTCTATGGATGCAAGATCGATCTTTTGTCGAACGGAGTAGAAAGTTCAGCGCCTGGTGTTGTCCTGGACGCCAAGATTCCCATTGCCCAGAATGATGGAGAAATGGTAGAAGAGAATTTTTTTTCTTCTCAGGGATCTTTTCGTAAAAGTGATAGCTTTGAGTCACTGAGTTCTATGGAAATGATGCAAGGGGCACCAAAGGGGCATGATTTTCTTGATTTTTATGGCATGGGCTTTGGTGCTGCCTATGGGATTAGAAGAACATTCAGTGAAGGGGACATAAAGGTGAGTTTTTTCATTCTTGAATACTCTTTCTCACTGAGTTGGATCACTCAATTGATTTATAAATCACCACATAGTTCAACTTTTAACAGAAAGAAACTGAATAGAACTGAATAGAATCAATCAGTTTTTTTATGTGGATCCAACTATGTGCAATGCACATATTCTCTTTGTCCAAGAATTAGGTTTCTAGTACAATATTCTTCAGTCAATTTAATTCTCCTTAAATATTTAGTTTTATATAACCAATTTTTATCAAATGGTTTGTGTTAAACTAGTTGTTCTTGTGACAGAGTCTTGGACATGATAGTGTAAGCCTAATGCATGCTCAACATGGTCAGCCCCAACTCTTTGGTGGTTCCACTACTGAGGGTCGAATGGAGAAGCTTCTGAGATACAAGATTAAGAGGACCAAGAGGAATTTTGTGAGGAAGATAAATGTAATTTCTATGACACTTTTCTCTAGTAAATTTTGATGCAATTTGGCTAGCTCAAGTCAAAAGTGGTCTGAGTCTCTCCTAGACTTTAATGTTAAGTTATCATCTCTATAAATTATGAAAATACAAAGCATGTAAACCATCTAATCATATTTTTCACTGTCCGTAGTATGCATGCAGGAAGACATTAGCGGACAACCAACCAAGGATCCGTGGAAGATTTGCGAAACAGAACATGATGCATCCGGGAAGCATTTAGCTGTTAATGCACACTGTAAGAAGAACAAAGAGTAAAGAAAGGAAAATGCCCAAGTCTTAAGTTCCACTCTAGTTAATCAGCAAATGAAGAAAGTAGCTAAAAAATATCCATTGATTGTATTTTTATAGTTGGTTAACTGCATACGGAAGCAATAGTGTATATAGTCTGTAAATATGATAAATAAGCTTCAAGTTTGTTATGTCCTTAGTCTTGGAATTATCAAGTGTGGCATGGATCAGTTCACCAACTAGTATATGATAATTAAAGAATTAGGTGTACTGTCATATATTAAGATAAAAGATATTGTACATTGTGATTTCATATTAGACAGGAAATAAAACTACCCAGTTATGGTTCATTTTCTATTCTGGTAGAATTCGGGATGTGGTTGGATTACTCAGTTGCGATACAAGACACTTGGATTAAACCACACTAAAAGATTGAACCTAATGTATTAGGTATTTTTTTATCTATTAGCTAGTTCAAGTCAATGCATTGTTAGCTCATTATTTTCTCTTTGCAAGTCTGATGTGACTTTATCACTCCCTTCAAGTCATTCAACATTCATAAAATATAAAAAACATGGATCAAAATAAAATGTCTCCAAGTTACTTCTCTAATGAGGTCGACAACCTGTTTCCGTACGAAAGGACCCTACACTCTTTGCTATAATGTGTACTCTTCCCTCTTTTCCCACCCCTATTCTTAACAAAATATCAGCATTCAGATATAGAACAGTTTGAAATAACTCCAGAAATGTGGAGGTCCATATTGGGGAGAGATGATAATGAACAACAACAAGAAGATGGTTTTTTGGAAGATGAAGAAGGCTTTTGCTCCCTCTCACATGTCCAAGTAATGCTATGATGAACTTCAGGCTTCCCTATTCCAAGTTTAAAGATTCTATCTTTATTGAGATGGATCCAATAATGATTTCTTACTATGCTTTGAATTTTTGTTGATCAGAGGATGTATGTGTTCTTTGCTTGTATGGCCACTGGTCTCGTCTGTATGTTCTTGGTACGGTATACGACCTCTTCTTCCTCTGGACAATCAATTGCTTTTTTTCTTCCACTGTTTTCTTATTTTTAGTTGTATGTTCCTTCTTTGTTGCAGTCATGTGTTGCTTTTGCCAAACCTATCAAATTTGCTCTTTTGTTTTCTTTGGGCAACATGCTTGCTGTTGGAAGGTATGATCTGTCTTATATTCCCAATCAGTGCAGTGCACTAGTGTTAGTGCATTTCAACTATCAAAAGATTTTAAGTTCAAAAGAACAATTTGATGCTGCAAAACATTTTTTATCTCAAATGAATAATTTGATCTGATTTAGTTTAGTAAACAGGATATGGTTTTTAAGATTGATCTGTTTTAACCAGGAATAATCTCATGTTGAGTCTAGTACTGTTCTTTTACTAACATTGTTGAAAATGGTGGTATTTTTACATTGTGATTCTCAGTGATCTCTAAATGTTGTCATCTCATGGCAGCACAACCTTTCTGATTGGACCTTGCAAGCAAATAAGAATGATGTTTGATCCAATTCGTGTGTTTGCCACAGTACTGTATTTTATCTGTGTTGTCTTGACCCTTGTTTGTGCGTTACTGGTAAGTATGCTATGTTAGACATTTCATCCGTTTCTAGATGCCATCTAGAAAATCAACTAAATAGAACTAAAATAAAGTGAAAATGAAAAAATAGAACCATGATTTTCCCGGTGTCATTTAATTTGTAAGGGTGGTTTGATATGACATACTAGATATTTTATTTCATACCTTTATTGTGCCAAAACTTTTGATTTATAAAAATACACGCGATTACTTTATCAAAATTTGGACATACTGTATTTCAATTTAGCGAAACTTGAGTACTTTAAATGTGTGGTATAATAACATACAATGTCATATTGGAATATCAATACAATAAATTACTACAGAGTATTTGCCAAATGAAATATACGAAATCGGTGTTATTTTATAAAAACATTTACAGAACAATAATAATAACCTGTTGGTGTCGTCTTATTCAACTGTGAACAAGAATTATTATCATATATTCAACAATACAATGTACCGCAATTTAGAATATAACATATTCTCTTAAAAATAATTTCAACATACATATAAACAAAAGAATAGTGATCTTCAAAAAGTAAAAATAATTCAAACATCATTGATATAAAGTCATATACCCTTAAGCTGATGTGTTTTTTTAGTCATAATTCAAAATAATTTCTATAACTTTAATGAAATCATTGTATTAGACTTTCAGTATAAAAGTATTTTGGTATACCAATTATTTTCAAGATATATATCGATACCGTACTGAAGTAATTCTGTACTCTACCATGTCGTACGGAAAATGTAGATGTATCAATATTTCAATAAATTCGGTAATTTTTCAATTTGATAAGTATGGTATAACAAATTTTTGGTATTTTCCCCCACGCCTAGAAATATATTATGACTAGAAATAGGAGTGAATGTAAAAATGCATTTACTTAAAATATATACTTTGATGGAGTATATGGCTCGGGAACTCCTACTACTCCAGTACAGGCCCAGAAGGCCCAGCAGGCCCAAGTCACGGTGCCCAGAGTACCAAGCAGCCCACAATGCGCACCAGGGGTGCCTTCGACCCCCTGGCCGAAGGCTCTAAACTCTCACAGAACGGGTTTCTCGAGCAAACTAAGAAACTGGGAGAAAACGGCGAGAACAGTAGCACTCGGCACCAGGAGCCCTCGGCACCAGGGTGCCCTCGGTTTGAGGAGCCCTCGGCTACTGCTCTATAGCCGAAGGCACCTCACTCGACAAGATCTCCTCTCCACGCGCATACAGATCACCGTACCCTGTACAACGTTCCATCCAACAGCCGCATTAAATGCGGCCACATGCGGCTGACAGCGCCAACTAGTTGAGGTGACCTCTCGGCCAATGGACGCTTGACACGTGTCCCTATCCGGCATTTATTGCTACTATAAATAGCGCCCCTTTCCCCCGTTGTAAACCACGACATTCATACTGAATACACTCTCTCTCCTATTTACTTATGCTCTGACTTCTCTCTAAGTTATTCTCAGCAATAACCCCTCGGATAAGCTACCCCCGGGTACACTATTCATCATACTTTCACAATATCATCCTGAAATAAGAATGTCATTAGAATATATTTAATTAATGATTAACTAGTTGTACTTCTTGCAAAAAAAAAAAATCATTGTACTTGTAATTTGATTTGCCAAATGAGCACTTCTAGCAAAACTATTTGAATGTAAAAGGTAAAACTTCTTGCACTTCATTTATTATTATTTACAATGTAATTTTTAATAACTCTTTTTCTTCAAAACTAGTTGGTTATTTTAGGTAGTTAGCTTTCTCAAACAAAATACGCTCAAATGATTTGTTACACTACAAAAAAATGGGATTATCATGGATTTTGGTAGAGATTTGACCGAGATTTTGACGGGGATATACCAAATCCGTGCCAAAAACACTTTAACACGAGCTATTTGGCACAAAAATCGGTAAATCCATGTTAAATTCCGTGTCAATCCGGTAATTTTTTTGTAGTGATGTTTGCTTTAATATCGTAAGGAACTCTTACATGTCAACTATCGGAGATGTTATACCGCCATTCTCAAATCATAATGCCATCGTCAAGTCAAATTACAAAAATCAAGTTAAATTACCACAACTCATCCTAGCTACAAAATAAATGTCATCTTGATGTATATTTTGTTAGTATATTTGCTGGTTTGAAAACACCAATAAAAATGTTAACTCAACTAGTAAAAAAGTGTCATCTTAATTGTCTATGTTCAAAAAAATGTCACCTCGACCTTAACAAATGTGAATTAACTTAAATATAGATATGAATTCGCTGAATCTGGTGAAATATGAAAAATAAAACTCTGTAACAAACTATACTACTTATTTTATTAATAAAATAAACAATTATATGAAACTAAGCTAAAATGACCATCTACAGAATTTCAGACAATTCAAACAGAAAAGTAATTTTAACATTACTGGTTGTAATTATTACACAATTCAGCGCGCAATATCAAAAATTATATGTTTGATGAAAAAGTTGTCTCCTAAAGTTGATAAGCTGAAAATAGGACATATCAATCGGAGTCTTAATCCTATATATACAAGGAGATTTATTTATGTTATTCTAATATTCATGAGATAAAAGTAATATAGGCAATTATACTAAATTCAGCGAGTTGAGTTATTTTAGGTTTACAAATAGGTTCTAAAATGTCCATGTCTTACTTGATCACTATATATAAACTTAATTGCTGCAGATTCACAGCGTAATTTTATCCATACTTGCTATCATATGTGAGGTTCTTGCCCTTCTATGGTACGTGAGCTCTTTTTATTATAAATTAAGTTAATCTATCGTAAAATATTATGAATAAATTCCATTTTGATTTTGAGTACTGCACTACTTTCACGTTTTGTACATGTATCTTACTTTTATTACTTTTGACATATTACTATTGTTTTTTACTCATTTATGATCCCTATGAAAACTAAATGATCATAAATGGGCAAAAAACGGTATGTAGTCAAGTAGCAAAAGTGAGGAAATTTAAATATGAAAACTAAATTTGTAAATTGATATAAAATTTGTAGGACAAAAAGTGAAATAATTTCAAAATCTATAGAGCCTGTAACGTAACATAGACCTATGTATGTTTCTTTTTCAGGTATGGTCTGAGTTACATTCCTTTTGCTCGTAAAGTGGTTACAAATATGACAACACATCTTTTCAAGAGAGAACCGAAGTAATTTAAATTTACAATGAAGAATTGGGTTTTGATCTATGATATGTCTGCCTCCGATCTCAGATATTTTGTTCACGATGTTCTATTTGTATACAATTTTGTCTGAAGTGTTGACATAAATATCCAAAGAGTGGATGACAAAGTTATGATTATTTTTTGTGTATTAAGTAAAACTTAATGTTATTGAAATTAATTTATTAGGATGTGTTTATTAGATTGATTTCAATTTCAAATATCAAACATACTACACTTCGTGGAGAATTTTCTTTCCACTTTTTATCTTGTGTTTTCATTTTGAACAATTTCACTGAGAAAATTAATAAAAAAGTTAATAAATTGTAATTTATTATCAAAGAGTTTCTCTCTCCTTCGCTCGCGGCAAGCATGCGTAGGATTTGTGTTGTCTGCCGCAGCAAGCGTGCGGTAAGAGTAGATTGTGGGGTTGGTTTTTGGATAATTCACAAGATGCAGGTAGTGGGTGAGTCCATGGAACAGTCGGCTTCAATGGAGGATTTGGTGCAGACGTGGCAAGGTTTGGTTCTGGAGGAGGAGAAGGAGAGAATTGATATCGATCTTGAGGAGGACTCGGGGCGAAGTAGGCAACAAGGGGGTGGGGTTTGCGGTGGTCGGACGTTTGGTTGTTGACAAATCAATCAAATTTCCCTATTTCAGAGATCTAATGGCTTCCATGTGAAGGCCAATTCGAGGAGTTTCAATAAAAGAGATTGGGGAGAAAACGTATATCTTTACTTTTTTCCATGAGATTGATATGAACTGTGTGCTTGTGAATGGTCTGTGGCTTTTTGAGCGAAATTTATTAGTCTTGCATATGCTACAGGATGGTGAATTGCCATTGTCAGTTGCTCTGAATGAGGCTAATTTCTGGATTCAAGTATTTAATTTACCTATGCGCTATTTTACTTTAAAAATTGCTAAAATAATCGGGAACTCATTGGGTAAATAAATAAATGCTAAGGAAAGACATTTTGAGGATGTTTAGAGGCCATATACGCGATTGAGAATTTGTTTGGATATCAATAAGCCTTTGTGCATGAAATTAAAACTAGGTAAGGATGAGAAGGATTGTTTTTGGGTATATCTTAATTATGAGAAACTGCCAAATTTCTGCTTTGTGTGTGGTCTTTTTTGCCATGCCGATCGATTCTGTCTCTTGGAGTATGATGGATAGTGTACCCGGGGGTATATATCCGAAGGGTTATTACGGGGAATAACTTAGAGAGAAGTCAGAGCAAGTAAGTAAAAGTAGAGAGAGAGTGTATTCAGTATGAATGCCGTTTTCAGCGTGGTTACAAATGAGGAAATGGGGTGCTATTTATAGTAGCAATAAATGCCGGGCAGGGACACGTGTCAAGCGCTCATTGGCCGAGGGGTCACCTCAACTGGTTGGCGCTGGCAGCCGCATGTGGCCGCATTTAATGCGGCTGTTGGATGGGACGTCTGTGCAGGGTACGATGATCTGTACGCATGTGAGGCGGATATCTTGTCGAGTGAGATGCCTTCGGCCATAGAGCAGTAGCCGAGGGCTCCTCCAACCGATGGCACCCTGGTGCCGAGGGCTCACAGTGCCGAGGGCTACTGTTTTCGCCGTTTCTCTCAGTTTCTTAATTTGCTTGGGAACCCCGTTCTGCAAGAGCTTAAAGCCTTCGGCCAGGGGGCCGAAGGCACCCCTGGCGCGTAGTGTGGGCTGCTTTGTACTCTGGGCGCTGTGATTTGGGCCTGTTGGACCTTCTGGGCCTGTTGGGCCTCTAAAGGAGTAGTAGGAGTCTGTGGGCCGGGTGTTCCCGGGCCATATACTCCATCAGGAGTCCCTCACTCCTTTTGCCGAAAGGTACTTGAAGGAAAAGGAGTAATTTGTGCTTGCCTTTTGATGTTGTCCCGTCGTGATCTCTGAAGTTGGTGAGGAGTTGTTGCTTTTATGTCCCTGCCGAAGGCAGTCCCTCAGTTACCCACATGTCGGGACTTGAGGGCTTGCCTTGTCGTTTGTTGGAATTTCACTAATTTTGTAATTTAATGATTTTCCCGAGGGGGGCCTCCAGTCCCCCACTCCTTGAGGCACTTGTAAAGTGGTGAAAAGGAGTAGAGTAGTTGTGTTGCTGTTGTGGGCCGAAGGCTGACGTTTTTCGTTTCATTTTGGGGGGATGCCTCGTTAAAAACCTAATTAGGAAAAACCCTGGGGGGGAAAATCCTAATGAGGGAAAACGAGTGCACCGAATTCTCCCAATGATGAATCGAAAATGTCAAACCTTGGTCAAAAATGGAGAATAACGGTAATGCCGAAGGCTCTTCTTTTTCTGAGGGCTCATGTATTGATCAGCCGAAGGCTTGCCGTTGATATCCTGGGGATGCCGAAGGGGAGCCCCTCAATCCGGGGATCGAGGGCCTGCTGGATGAGGGCGGCAACGGAGTTGTTACCGGGGGGTCCACTGTTTGTTGATTAGTTGGTGATGAAGATACCCGAGGGCTCCCATTACCTGTGTGCGACGGGTTATCCGTCAATGAAGGCAACTCCCCGGGGGCTACCCGGTTTTGCAGTGCTGAGGGGGAATTCCCGAGGGGTGCCCTGATATGAAGCCTTGGGTCCCTGAAGGAGTGATCCCGAAGGTGTCCTGTTATGTGCTGTGTGGGGCACACCCCGGGGGCACTTCTGAGTGAGTGCACCCGGAGGCTATCCTTGATGAAGTGGAGTGAGGTAGAAAACCCGGGGCTTCCAGAATATAGCCGTTGGAAATATAGCCATTGGAATATGTAACGTCAGGATATAGCCGTTGGGGGGGAACACGTGGCGCGTGATGGCTGGCTGTCCGTGGGCGGCATCACTGGTTGGGTGAGGACGCGGTGTGTAATGATGGTGGTCCATCCGGAGGCCCGGAATCCAGGCCCAAGCCCGGATTCCATCGCCTATAAATACCCCAAGGCCAGGGCCATTCCCCGCTGTGCGAACTCAGTTGTCTTAGCGAAGCTCTGCCAAAAAATCTAGTGAGAGAAACTCAAGCCTTCGGTCCTAACTCAGCTTTCGAGGTCAGTGCTCCCTGCCTTTCTCCTTCTAGTATAGCTGTACATTGTGCCCTCGGGTTAGGAGATAGAATTCACTAGAAACCTTAGTTCCCCCGAACCCTCGAGCTAGAGTTAGAATGTCGTCCCAGAGTGACTCTCAGGACATCTCGAGGACGCCCTCGATGGAGGACGAAGGCATCTCCGACGTGGAGTCCAGTAGCGGTCAGCCCTCGGATGGTGGTGACGTAGCCCTCGCCACTGAGGTGCAGAAGGATCTGATGGCCGAGGCCGAGGCGGAGGAATTCGAGCGAACCGCCGAGGATGAAGAGTTGGCCCTCGCCGTCCAAGTTGCTGAAGAGGAGGAGGAAAAGGAGAGGGCGAAGGTCACTGTGGCCGTCCTTCCCCCTCGGGGTGCTGGTGAGGCCAGTACTTCCCAGCCGCTGAATGCAGTTCCCATCCGGGTGGCCCCCGGAAAGAAGAAGGCCAAGGCAGCTGCCCCCAAGAAGAAGGTTATTGCTGCTGATTAGGGGAAGCCCGTAGATATGCCGGAGGGGTATTCCTGGCTCAACACGGCTGCCTTGGAGATAAAGTCGAAGGCGGACAGGGCGGACCTCTACGTGACGCAGCTACATGTAGGGCCCTCGGCCGTGGTGGTCGAGCCGGGAGTTGATGACGTGCTCTCTCGGGCACCTGAGGGGTGCATTGCAGTACACGTACTGTCGGTCTCCATGGGCCTTCGGTTCCCTCTGCACCCTTCCTCCGGGAGTACCTGAGGTTTGTTGGCTTGGTACCCTGCCAGCTGACACCCAATAGCCACTCCTACGTGGCGGGTTTTTTAAACCTTTGTAGGGACCGAGGGGTGACCCCCAGCCTGGACTTGTTCTTCCAGAGCTTCAACCTCTGTCGAGGGGGTCACGCGAATGCCGAGGGCTTCGCCAACCTGCAGCAGGTGGCCAGGTGGAAGTTGTTTACGGAGGCGCCTTCGTCCAATAAGGGCTGGAAGGAGCGCTGGTGCTATGTCAGGGTTGCTGAGAACCCATTTCCGGCGGAACTTCGGGATCGCTTCCGTCGGCATCCGAAGGTTGGAAGCGCCGCCCTCGAAAAAGATGGCCTGGTGATAGCCAAAATCCCGGAGGGTCGCACAAAGCAGGTCTCCATCAAAGACTATACTGCCGACAAGGGATTCTACGCCCTCGGCTTTCGGAGATACCGATTTATTGGGGAAGCGGACGAGAAGTACCCCATTTTTGCTGAGGCCTTCGGGGGAACAGGAGGTAGTCTACGAGGTCCCTCGGTTTTCATATCTTAGCACATAGCTTACCTTGTTCGTGTTTTTTTTTTCTTTTTATCCTTAGTGCCTTCGGTCAGTAACCCCTCGATTTTAACCCCATACCTTTTTTTTTTGCAGGTGTCCCAGTGAAAATGATGAACGTCGGAGGCCTTGCAGACCTGAAGAAGAAAAAACCCTCCAAGGTCCCGAGGGGGACGGACGCCGGTGTCCCAAAACCCGCCGGTGACTTCTTCAAAAAACCGGAGGGGCCGTCGGTGGGCCCAAGTGCTGATGCTGCTGCTGCCGCCAAAAGGAAGGGCTCGGGCAGAGATCCCGAGGGCAAAAAGCCCAAGACCGGGGATGCCGAGAAGAAAGTCCCCCCGGTGATCATTGTTGATAATGGCCCTGCCTCCGGGGCGAATGAGGACATGCAGGTGGCGAAAGTGCCGCCGGGAGTTCAGGGGCCATCTTCCGAGGTCCTCATGGTTTCCCTCCCGGCTGGTACGGCCGTGATGAACGGTACAGCCGACCCGAGGGCGCTTCTGAGAGGCATCACCCTCGAGATTGACAGAGTAGCCCTCGGGGCTGATGAAGACGAAGCCCTCGAGGACAGGATCCTCCGGTCTTCCCTCACAGTAAGTCTTTTATGCTTATTTCTTTCTTTTTTACTTCGAGCTAAGAAACCATGTTTGGCCTCGCTAACCCCTTTGTTTCTGTAGACCTGCATTGCCCTCGCGGAGCAAGCCCGGCGGCTAGAGGAGTGGCGCCTTCGCAAGGCCGAGCAGGAGGCCAAGATGCGGGAGCTCATCCGCCAGAATGCAGACGCTGTTCGGCAGATGGCTATGCTGGAGGAGAGCCTTCGGCAGATGACCCTGCGGGCGGAGGCCGCAGATCGGGGCAGGGCAGAAGCCGAGAGGTCCGCAGCTGAGGCCTTGGAGAGAGCTGTCAAGGAAGCCGAGGCCGCGAGGGTG